GATCTGTTTTTGCTCTGACAAATGGAATTTACCCTCATAAATTAGTGTTCTAAATTTCTTACTAAGAACCTTATTAAATACCTGATACATTTAAAAAAAAAAAAAAAAACTAAAGTGACAGAAGATTGATCAGTGGCTGCCCAGGAGTGAAAAAAGCAATGAAGGGGCTGGTGAGATGGCTCAGTGGTCTAAAGCACCTACTTAGAACAAGCTTAGCAAAGCACAGGGACCGCGGTTCAAGCCCCAAGCCCCCAGCACCACATGCCAGCCAGCCCCACCCCCTGGTGGGCTGAGCTGGCCACACAGAAAGAAAGAAAGAAAGAAAGAAAGAAAGAAAGAAAGAAAGAAAGAAAGAAAGAAAGAAAGAAAGAAAGAAAGAAGCAATGAATTACAAAGTGACATAGGAAACAACTCAGGCAATGGTCCCTTCATTATCTTGGCTGAAGATAATTTCCTAAGTGCATACATGACAAAAGCAGCCAGGGGCTGCCCCTTAGCTCAGTCCTTTAAGTGGCTGCTTCAACAAAGCTGGCAGGCTCAGGTTGCTGTGGTTCCAGCCCCACAACTCAAGCCAGCCAAACCTGCCCTGAAGGCATTCTGAGCAAAAAAAAAAAAAAAAGCAGCCAGAGCCTATACTTCTAATGTCTAACGGACTGTAATTACATATTGGTAAAAAACCAAGCCAGTGATAAAAACCAGAAAAAAATTATCTAAAGTAGAGCACATCAATGCATACAGTGCTACTGTGAAATTTCAGCCTTCAATCCTGTCTGAATAATCAAGAAGACACTGGAACAGAATGATAACAGCTAGAATTAATCACTATTGCAAACATTATAGACATTTAAGACAATGACAACATTTACAAATGGTTACTTTTATTACTATTTCAAACTGAAAAGTGGAGGGGCACTTGGGATATACCTCAACGGTGTAGTACATGCCTCACATGCACAAGGGCTTGGGTTTGATCCCCAACAGTGCAAAGGAATCAAAAATAAAAGCAGAGTCAGGCATGGTGGCACACACCTGTGATCTCATCACTTGGGAGGCTGAGGCAGGAGGATCGCTGTGGGTTCAAGGCCAGCCTGGGATACATAATGAGTTCAAGGACAACCTGAACTGTATAACGAAACTTGTCTCAAAAAGACAAAAGCAGAAAAAACAACAAAACAAGAAGTGGGGGAGAGAAAGTACAAGATGGATGGACACGAACAACAGAAGATATACACACTACATGAATGCTATAGTAAATCCCACTAATCTGTGTAACTTCTATATTGTTATAATAAAAACACAAATTCAGAAGACCCTACATTTTATAAACAATACCAGGAACTGGAACTGAAATTTAAGTTCTGCCACAATTTTAGCTCATCCTTTTAAGAACGTTAATAGCTATTCCACATTTCTCCTACATATTATGTTATTGGTTAATTTCTGAAGTCAGTCCTATCCCTGTGGTAAAGTACAAGTACATATGCTAATCAAGGATCAATCAATAAAATGACATTTAAGAAATTCAGGTAAAAAGACAAGTTTAAAGCCAGGCGTAGAGCACACCTGTAATCTCAGAACTTGGAAGACCGAGGCAGGAGGGCTGCTCCAGGTATGAGGCCAGGCTGAGCTACATAGTAAGTTCAAAGCTAGCCTGAACTATGTAGTGACATTCTGTCTCTCTGGGCGTGCTGGCGTGCCTGTAATCCCAGAGTTTGTGAGGCTAAAAACAGGAGGATCACTATGAGTCCAATCTGTGTAGAGACACCCTGTAGACCCTATACTAAATTTAGAAAAGAAAAGAAAAAAAAAAAAAAAAAAAAAGACAAGTTTTAAGTACCAATACTATTTGGGAAAACTGCATTAAATAACATCACCTTGAACGTTATACTGGTAGTAATCAGGGTCTTCTGATTCCTCCTTTACTGTCACAGCAGCCATTTCCAGGGAAATGCCTATAAATGCAAAAGCATTGCTAGAGTTAGTGCAGGGCACTGAGTTAAGATTGCACAGAATGTATGTATATTTTAATGATTTTTTTTTAATTTTAAGGATTTTGGAAGGAAAAAGCTTGATAAGGAGCAGAAAGAAAAAAATCACTCATAGCCCCAACCAAGTCAAAGTCTTATCAAATATTAATCCTCTGGGATTATTCCCTGCTAATTGTTTCCATAAATTCTTAATCTGCTGTCTTTTCATTCTCTACCTAGATGATATATTATTACTAACTAGTTCAATAACACAAGAAAGTGATCTCTCAGATTAAGTCAGCTTTGATTTATAGATGAAACCAGAAATTTACTACATAAAACACTTTCTCAACTAATCTGAAAGGACAGTAAAAAACTCTGTGTCGGCAGACCCTGCAGGGGAAAGAACAAGTGTGACTCAACCAACAGCTCTTCCTCGTCCTCAGGAAGTGGTCACATGAGGGTTATCACTGTGCAAAAATGTGACATTTTGTTGTGCATAATTGAATTTTTGGACCCCACCTGTAGCCTACAGGGTAGGTTATCCAGTGTACGTATTCTCTTCATAAATAAGTACCATAAAAATTCATTTTCCCTTCCAATCACTAAGGAAAAGATAAACTGCAATAACAGTAGTAACATATACCCTCCTAAATTACATAATATTTTTTAAAAAATACAGTTCCTTTTGTTCTGCCTCTTCACACAGTTCTGGGGTGGGGGGATTCCAATAAAGTATAACTGGGAGTCAGGGGAGGTGATGCATGCCTGTAATCCCAGGTACTTGGGAGGCTGAGGCAAGAAGACTACAGCACAATCCCTGAGGCACAATCTCAAAATAGCGATGAGGCTAGTAATGTAGCTCAGGTTCAGAGCACTTCCTCAGCATGCCCAAGGTCCTGCGTTCATCCTCAATGCTGAAAAGCAAAGTTTGGCAAAGGTAGAGAAAAACAAAAATCTGCATATAGTACATGGGGAAACAAAACAGTGGAGCTGGGGCCAGGGAGATGGCTCAGTAGAATAAGTGCTTGCCCGGCAAGCACAAGGTCCTGAGTTCAATCCCCAGTACCACCAAAACGAAAAAAAAAAAAAAAAAAAAAATAGCAGAGCCATTTTGCAGAAAAGTTTGGCAGTGGCTGCCAGCAATTCACATTGACAAGAGAAATGAAATGTATTTCCCCACAAAGATAGCGGATGGGGGTAGGGATATAGTTCAGTGACACAGTGTCTGCCTGGCAAGCATGAGGTCGTGAGCTTGACCCCCTCCCCCCCAAAAAAGAAACACTGGACATTTACTGCAATGCTATTTATAACAGCTGAGAAGTAGAAACAACTCAAACATCCACCAAATGGTAGAGAAAAGGGTAATCTATCCATACAATGGTGTTATTATTCAAGTGTAAAATGCTTATAGATTCTAAATTTTTTTGAACATGGGTCTCAAGGTATGATACAAAATTAAGGAAGCAAAATATTACACATTGGGCTGGTGAGATGGCTCAGTGGTCTAAAGCACCTACTTAGAACAAGCTTTAGCAAAAACCCAGGGACCACAGTTCGATCCCCCAGCACCACATGCCAGCCAGCCCGCCCCCTGGTGGGCTGAGCTGGCCACACACACACACACACACAAATAAATAAAATTAAAAAAATATTACACATTGTCTTATTCCACTTACATGAAATATCAGATAAGATAAATTAATAAAAAAACTGAAAGAAGATTATGTATGGTAACAAAGACTGAAGGAAAAAGGCACCATATTTGGGATAACAGAAATGCTCATAAATCAGATTGTAGTGACCAACACAAAATTCACTAAGTTTACATAACTACACATTTGAGTCTTTATTTATTTTATAATTTATTTATTTATTTATTTTTGTAGTGCTGGGGATTGAACTCAGGACCCTGCGCTTGCCAGGCAGTCGCTTATTCTTCTGAGCTATCTCCCCAGCCCTGCGTTTAAATCTTACAGTAAATGACAGGCCAGGGCTATAGCTCAGTGGTAGAGTGTACGCCTGGCGCATGCAGAATTCTGTGCCAGGGTTAGCACAGAGCTGGGTTTAATCCCCGACACTGAAAAAAAGCAAGCAGGTGGTTCGTATGATATATAAATTTATATCTCTATAATGATTCCCCCTCAAAAAATAATCCTGTATGGGGCCGGGGAGATGGCTCATTGGAATAAGTGCTGCCCTGGCAAGCACAAGGGCCTGAGTTCAATCCCCGGTTCCAGGAAAAAAAAAATTAATAATAATAATAATAATCCTGTATGAAAAAATAGCTAAGTAATACCAAAAACTGTTCAGATTTAAAAAATTTTCTTGGGGGCCAGGGAGATGGCTCAGTGGAATAAGTGCTTGCCTGGCAAGCACAAGGCCTGAGTTCAATCCCCGGTTAAAAAAAAAAAAAAAATTTCTTTGGCAAGTAGAGAATGAGAGTGCAAAGGGAAACAGAATGTAATGAGAGTGCTGATCTTTATAAAAGCACTAAATAGGGCCAGCAAATAGCTCAGGGGACTAAACCACCTGCCTAGGAAAGAGCAGTGACACAATTCGATCCCAGCACCACATGCTGTGCCAGACCGGCCCCCAGGGCAGGCTGAGCCAGCCAGAGAGTCCAGGGCGGGCGTGGGGGCGCACGCCTATAATCTCAGCGCTGGGGAGGCTGAAAGCAGGGGATGGCCACAAGTCCGAGCTGCATAGTGAACAACCAAATGAAGAAGAAAGAAGGAAGGAAGAAGGAAGAAGAAGACGAAGAAGAAGAACAACAACAACAACCAGCAGCAGCAGCAGCACTAAATAACCAGTTCACTTTTCACCTCTATTTTAAGGGGAGAGGGAGAGGAAACCACAATATATTTTACCGTTAAGCATGTTATAAGAAGCAATCTTTTGGCTACCGTGGATGAACAAACTCTTTTCTGGGGTCTTAATATAACATGATCATATTATTAACAGGCACAGCTGGAAAATATTTGTAGTGACTGCCCACTTCTCATCAAGACAACATGCTAATTAGTAAGTCAAATTATAACTTCTAAAGAAGAAAAATTCGGGGCTGGAGAGATGGCTCAGTGGTCTAAAGCACCTACTTAGAACAAGCTTAGCAAAGCATCAGGGACCGCGGTTCAATCCCCCAGCTCCACATGCCAGCCAGCCCCGCCCCCTGGTGGGCTGAGCTGGCCATACACACACACACCTCTCTCTCTCTCTCTCTCTCTCAAATAAATAAAAAATAAAAAAAAAAGAAGAAAAATTCTTCTTTAATTTTACAACTGATTCTTAAAGCATACCAGAATCTTCTGTGGGTTCAGTTTTTACTTTGATGGGGCCACAACTGAAAGAAGAAATAAATTCAAATTAAACTAAGCAAGTGTGAAGACCACTCACACAGTAGCATGTAAGTGCAATCTACAACATGTCGAGAGCAGCTTCATCTAGAAAACAATATTATTCACAACAACTAAATCAAAAGTACATTTTCACAAGTCTCCCAAATCACTTAACTGCATATTAAACATGCAGATGTGTGGCATAAGGCCTTTGTATAGTCTAATAACACTGGTACGTATGACACTCTGCTAGTATTAATAAACAAAGGTTTACCTTCCACTTGGAGACAATATTGACCTTTCAGTATCTGTTACCATTGCCCGACCACCTATGAACAACAACAACAACAAAAATTAGATTTAAGTTTTTTCAGAATTTTAAATATAACTAATGTGTCTCCAGGCTTTTGAGAGGTAAAGGTTGGGTCACAGTGTAATAACTACTGCATGACTTATACAATAGTCTACTCTGCTTTCCTCTGCAAATAAGACAAAATGGTTGAAAATCTCCTAAGAACTTTTCAGCTTCTCACCTACGAGTATCTTTTGTTTTGGTTTTTTTGTTGTTGTTGTTTTAGGAGACAGGGTTTCACTACATAGTTTAGGCTGGCCCAGACTTAAAACAATCCTCCTGTCTCAGCCTCTAAAGTGCTAGAAACAATTAACCACTAAGAAGAATATATGCAGTGTATTATTTGTTGAAACTGTACTTCCAATTTGATTTGAAACTGCCTCATTGCTATCTGTTTATCAATAAAACTTTGAAAAAATAAATAAATAAATACTAAAAATTAAAAAAAATAAAGTGCTAGAATTATAGGCATGAGCCACTATACCTGGCTCTAGCATCTTTTTTCATGAAAAAATTCAGACTTTTGTCAGTGAAACACAATGAAAAATATATAGTATTTTCAAGTAAGATAATAAAACTGTGTTCATGTATGATGACATACATTGCTATTAATACCAGTCCAATTATCATATTTTTCGGTAATTTTTGTAACAGAACATATAAAAAATGACAATTTAATCAAATTCATGAATAATTTTTCTACATGCGGTATTTAAAACATTCAATACATTACACAACATTATACTCTAGACAATTTTACCCAGTTTCTTTTAAAACTTTTTTAGCTGGGGAGATGGCTCAGTGG